TCTGACCATCTCTGCCCTTTAATTCAATTGCTTAGACCATTTACACCTCACATAATTATTAATATGGTTAGATTTCGTTTTATTATATGCTATTATTGTTGCATGCATTATTCCATATGTTCTTTGTTCTCTATTTACTTTTTCCATCTTCCATAGTTTTCGTGATTTTTTTTTTGTGAGGAAGATTGGCCCAGAGCTAACATCTATTGCCAATCTTCCTCTCTTTGCTTGAGGAAGATGACCCCTGAGCTAACATCCATGCCAATTCTCCTCTACTTTGCATATGGAATGCTGCCACAGCATGGCTTGATGAGCAGTGTGTAGGTCTGTGCCTGGGATCTGCATCCAAGAACCCCAGGCCACTGAAGCAGAGTGTGTGAACTTAACCATTACTCCACCAGGCTGATCCCTTCATTCTTTTAATCACAACGACCTCCCTCATTTATGTTCACAAGTTTGCCTTCATTCTGTGCCTCTGACTGCATTATCCAGGAACTCCTGAAAGGTGGTACTGCCAACATTCACAAGGACAGATATTTATTCTATAATTCAATTAACATTTGATTTGAATTTCACTTCTGATATTATTTTTCTATTTGCTGCACTTTCATCTTTGTGGGTTAAATTCTTCTTTCAATTATCCATAAAAATGTCATATGGACTTATCACTAGGCACAAGGAGGTAACTACAAGCTTTGCCATTTGTATATGAACTGACTTGCAAATGTACAGTGACCAATAAACTGACAGACTTCAAGTGACATGAGTGGTCATGCATCATGATCCACATCTGTTATTTAAGTAGTCATTTGTGGACTGAGCTAGCTGTAAAGTTTGTACTTTATGCAAGTATTCAGTTAATATACTGTGTTAACAAAAACGTGAACTGTATTGTTAGGGGACTAGTTTTACATAATTGAACCCCATGCATGTCAAAAATCTGAAAAACTAGGACTGTCTACTCTTCTTTTTCCTCCTGGCCTTTATGCTATTATGTTTTTAAATTTTGCATGTTATAAACCCCACAATATTGTTATTTTTAAGGAGTCAATTATCTTTTAGAGATGTAAATAATTTTTTAAAAAACCTTATACATTAACACATGCGTTTATCATTTCCAGTGTTCATCATTCCTTCATGTAAATCTACATTTTCATCTACTACCATTTTCTATCTACCTGAAAGACTTCCTTTAATATTTCTTGTAGCACCAGTGATGAATTCTTTCAGGTCTTGTATGTCTGAAAACCACTTTATCTCATCTTTGCTTTTGAAAGACGCTTTTGCTGGGTATTGAATTCTAGGTAGTGTTCTTTTCCTTTCAGTACTTTAAAGATGTTTCTCCATTGTCTTCTCAGATAGTTTCTGATGAGACTTCCGACGTTATATTCATCTTTGTTCCTCTGTTCTTATCTTTTCCCTTTAGCTGCATTTATAATTTTATCACTGTGATGTGGCTCGTAGTTTTCTTCGTTATTTCTTGTGCTGAGGTTCACCGAACTTCCCACATCTGTGGGTTAATAATTTTCACAAAGTTTGGAAACTTTTAGGTCAAATTTAAAAATTTTTTAAAATAAAGTTTTATTTATTCAAATTTTTTAATAGTCTCCACCCTTGCCTCCTTCAGGGACTCTAATTAAGCAGATACTATGGCATAGATGTTGTTGCACTACTCATTGACGTTCTTTTAATTTTTTTCAATTTTTTTCTTCATTTCATTTTGGATAATTCCTGTTATTATGTCAAGTCCACTAATGACTAATCTTTTCTTCTGCAATGTCTAATTTGCCATTAATCCCATCTAGTGTATTTTTCACCTCAGACATTTTAGTTTTCATCTCCCTAAGTTTGATTTCGGTCTTTTTAATATGCTTTACGTTTCCACTTAACTTTTTGAACACATACAATACTTATAACTGTTTTAGTATACTCATCTGCTAATTCTAACATGTGCCAGGTCTAGGTTGGTTCCAACTGACTATTCCTATTTTGGGCTGTTTTCTTGCTTCTTTGCATGCCTACTGATCTTTAATGAGATGACAGCCATTGTGAACTTTACCTCATAGGTACTGGGCATTTTTGTTTTCCTATAAGCATGCTTGAACTTTGTTCTGGGATGCAGTTATGTTACTTGGGAATGGTTTGATCCTTTTCAATCACTCACTGGTACTCTGTCCTATGAACTCTAGCTATCTTGGGCTCCTCAGACTCTCAGCTCTATTTCCTCAACTCAAGGAGTCTACTGGATTCTTACTTAGTTCCCCTTCCTTGCATTGCAGCCTGCAAGCTCCTTCAAGGCAGTAAGCTGGGAAAATTTTAGGGCTCCGTCTGTTTGTTTCCTAATTCTCAAGGATCACTTTCCTCATTGTCTGAGGTCCAGTGTCTTGAAATTCACTTTTCCATGTAGTTTGTCTGTTTTTCATTTGGTTGTTTCAGCAGGAAGGGTACATTCAGTCTTTGCTATTCCATCTTGGCTAGAAACGGAAGTTTCAGCTAACTTTTAAGAAACTACCACATCTTGAGTTTTTGTGTATTATCAAAGAAGAATATCTACAATTATCTGAAAAGACCAATACAATACTCCATTTCTCAACTACATATCTGTGTGAGATTGGACTTTCTTCACATACTTTAACCATAACAACATATTGTAACAAATTTAATGCAGAATACCACTATTCTATATAGTGTGCAACTAACCAGAAACCTTAATTTTATTACCTGGATTAGAGTTTTACTAGCAGCTTGAGGTAAGCCATTACATCTTGAACTAGGCAATTAAGTTCTCCCCAACAGGTTTAAGACCAGAACACCCAGAAGTTACTAAAATAGTGAAGTAAAACGACATTTTAAATAGCTATACCTTTTATGTATTTCTCTATTTTTTGGTTTAATAGTTCAATGAAAAAAAAAGATGACCTCTATGTGGATTCATATGATCAATAACCACCCACCCACTCACATACACATAAAGTACAGGAGTCACCTATAACAGCAATTGGGATTGGAAAAAAATTCTCCTGAGCTATAAAATTAAGCTATAGGATTCTAGTGAGTTTTTTGGTACACATGCCTGAAATGCTACAATTCTTTTTTGTACATACTGATAATTTACATAGACCACTAGTTTTTAGGAATAGTTTCCATGAATGGCAATATACTTAATGGTTAAGATCACAATATTTGGAATTAGATTGTTTGGGTTCAAAGTCCAGCTCCAACTTCTTTATAACTGTGTGACCTTGAGAAAGTCACTTAATACACATACTCCAGTTTCCCTATTTTTAAAATGGTGATAAAATCATTACTTATGGGATTATTTTGAGAAATAAATGAGATAAGGTAAATTTCTTAAAACCATGCATGGTAAATAAAACATTTAGCAACCGTTAAATAAGTTTAGCAATTACAATTTTTTTTGAACCCTGTACCACTAGATGTACTCATTTATGAAGTCTAAGGGAAGCACAAGGACCCAAGTATGTTGTTTTGTTTTTGAGTCCCACAAGTGATTTTGTTCACCACATCCCAGCAAGAATTGAAAACCATGGTCAGACTTTAGATAAATTATCACTTAGATTAATCAGTATTAGGTTAAATTTAAACTGTTCTTGGAAACATCTTCCAATCCTGAAGCTCAGCGAATGAGAGTCAAATTGCTTCAAGTAGGGCAAGGAAGAATCTCTGCCATTAGAATTTGTCTAAATTCATTCAACATTTAATAAGTAACCACTGAATATCAGTATCAGGTAGACAGAGATAAGTAATGTACCTCTGTTCTCAGGAACTTAAACATTTGTGATAATAGAGTATAATGATATAAGCAGTGTTTCTCAAAGTGTGGTACATGCCTGCCCACCACTGACTGTATCTGTAACATACAACCCAAGTTTTCCTGAGATTGGGGTTGCACATCTGCAGCAAGAAAGAATAATGATAGACAGGCTCTACTCTGCAGTAGATTTTCCTGTAATAATGGCATTATTAGCATCAGTTTTTCTGCAGCCAGCCTGAGATACATAAACAGCAGCAGAGCTTGAGCTGGAATAGAACTGCCAGGGCTACCAATTACTCCTTCCCTGTGTGGAAACAGATTCCAGAGAGACTGGAAAGAGACACTATCTAGACAGAGAAACTATCTACACCTCTGCATGCTCATTCATGGTCCACTCAATGCCTGCTGTTTCCAACAACAGGAAAGGGAAGAAGAATCAGGATAGGAAAGCAGAGTGTGAACAGCAGGAGTAATCCTAGAAACTCAATTATGTTCAGGTTCAGATGTGCTGGGCCAATAGTCCACCCAACATTCACAAGTACTATAAAGTATCCTTTTAAAGAGAAAGAGGTCACTTTAAGACAACTATTAAATAAACAGCAGTATAGGCTATATGAGAATATGGCAAAATGAGAAGTTTTAGAAATATTACTAGAACTGAATAATGAATTGCCCCATGAAAGATGCAAGAAATAAGTACCACCATGATCAGAGAGAAGAAGTCAATTCCAGTGAGGATGGTCAGGTATGAGTTTCAGAGAAGCTGAGACGTATTAGGCTGAGTCTTAATGAATGGACAGAACAGGCTAAAGGAACTCTGGAAGAAGCAAGTGGCAGGTAGGGAAGAGCTTAAGCAAAGGTAGACATACCCAAAGCATAGTAAGAACACAGTGAACTCACTTTAGAAAAAGATAAAGATTCTCAGTTCTTCATTGTCTTACATATAAAACTTACCTGTATTTATTTAGGTTCTTTATTATCTATTCTTAGACAAATAATAAAGGTTGCCTGGAATGTGTTATTTCACTGTATATATGAAAATGCAGTATTCAAAATGATATATCTCTATATGGCAATACCTTAAAATGCATTAATTATTTTGATATTATCATAGCTCTAAGATACCTGAATAGTGGTGAACACCCTAATAGGTATTTCACATCTATAACTTTTGTCAGGTCTCTTAAAGCCATTTGGGATGAATAAAGCATCCTTACTGCCCTTATGCTCTCTAAGATTTTTACTTCTGGCTTAGCAAATTCCAAACAGGCAAAAAGAAAAAGGAGCAATAGGATGAACAAATTACTAAAATCAGGAAATTAATCAAGGTAAAATTACATAGTTATAGGAAAACTGAAAATAGAAGATTCTCATTTTTATATCCTGGAATGATTAATTCTTTAATACAAGAAACAATGAGCATTATTATTAAACAGTCCTTAAGGTAATTTTAGTTACATTTTTTGTTTTATACTATAAAATAATTAATACTCCCACAAACAAGTTATTTTATGTGCTAATTAATACCCTGAGGCAAATGATACAACTGTCAAAGTATCCATTAGAATGAAAAAAATTCTAATCCTAGCACAGCTTTAACTTGCCTTGTGACTTTCAGAATAACAGTATTCATTTCTCACCTATACAAGAAAGAAGCTGAACCAGATGATATCTGAAGTTTCGCACAGTTCTAAGTGTTGATGATGTTACATTACTTATATAGCCAATCCACTTTCTTTTTTCTAAACCAAACTTCTTAAATCAGCATTTTCCCTAAAAATGGTGGAAACTTTCCAAAATGTATCACGTTTTATAAAATTAAAATTCAAATATATTTCAGACTAGGAATTGAAAATAGTAATTTCCTTACAAATAAATTGAAGTACTTTATTTCCTACCAACCATGTTCCTAAGAATATGGAAGTATTAATTAAAATTTAGAAATGTATAAAAACTTCAAGGAACTGCTACTGAAAGTAAAACTATTACAAAAAGTCTCTATTAACTTACTAAGTCGAAGCTTTGTAATAGGAAAAGATTTATTACAATAAAAGTTACATAGATTACCTATTTTTTGATGATCCTCTGTCACAGTATTTAAAAATGTAACTATTTTCCTGTGTATAATTTTACCACATAATTGCTAACTTTGCAGAATTTCCAAAACATACGCAATTACTTTCACACACATCTCCAAGGAAAGGTTTCACTGACTACTGCAAACACTGATTTATCAAATAAAGTAGAAGTCCATGCTTTATAACTCAGCATTAAATTTCTCATAGAGAAACTAAGAAAAAATATTTTCTATCATAGATAGTTATCAACTGTCTTTGTTAAGTCCTCCAACTAATATTTCATTAAAGAAATCAAGTTAAGTGGGAGCTGCCTTTACAGATGATGCCTGTGATCTGGCCATTCTTCGAACCAGTGCTTCTTGCCTTTTTCTCTTAATTTCTTCAGGAGAATACCTTCTATTTTTCTCTTCTTCCTCTAAAAATTAAACAAAATATAAATATTAGTTTTATAGACTATGAAATCATTCTGAATATGAGTCTTCATTTTTACTTGTTTATTGCCCAGATTTGCCACATTGGTTTGGCCATTAAATCACACTAAATTACTGCATGTAAGATTCCAAGTACAGATATAACGCTCTAACCCAGAAAGAAATCAAGCACTGACCACTTTGTCTCCATTTGATGCACTCTTTTTCACAGTGTGATAAAATTCATTGTATTAAAAACTGTACATTTTGACTACCCAGCAAATAATTCTTGTGAACAATGACATCTAATTTATACAAGTGACAAATGAATACATTTTAAAAACAAACTGGGATTTTAAATGTTGTATAAACTTTAATACAAAAGGAGTCAAAATATAACTAATTAAATTAGATATCAATATAGTATTTTTACTATAAGATAAGCTATATTAAAATCACACCTACTTTTTTCCTCTATAAAGCTCCAAGATTTTCATTTCAGCCACTTAGGAAAAATTAAACTAGAGTGATAGAGTGAAATCTATCATGTCAACAAATGTGTAACTTACTGTTAGATATTATATTTTTATTTTGAGAACACATTTTACTTAAACATTAGAAGATTATTTCAAATAGCAGAATATTTGAATAAAATCAATTTGAATATCTTTTTAATACATAAAAATGCAAAGCATTCTGACATTTTTTTTTCCCAAGGAAGATTAGCCCTGAGCTAACTGCTGCCAATCCTTCTCTTTTTGCTGAGGAAGGCTGGCCCTGAGCTAACATCTGTGCCCATCTTCCTCTACTTTATATGTAGGATGCCTACCACAGCATGGCTTGCCACACAGGGATCCGAACCAGCAAACCCCGGGCCACCAAAGTGGAATGTGCACACTTAACCACTGCGCCACCAGGCCAGCCCCCGATATATTCTTACATAGCACATGTTAGTGTGTATCTGAGATAAACATACTGTAAAATAAACGTTTTGTAAATTAAATAAATGAAAATAAGAAAGTGCAGTTTTAATAAAGCCTGCAATTCTACCTCTGCCAAAATACCAAATTCTAATAAAATGAATTTCAGTTAAGTCACTTTGAGCTAAAATTATTAGATTATCCATATAATGCTAATAAGAATCAAAGTTCGAAATTAGCAAACCTATTTCTTCACTTCAATGTTGTTTTAAAAATTAAGATCATCACCGCAATATATATTTACGTGACCTTGTGTTGGTAAAACTGTTTATCTTGTAAATTCTGCCTTTCAGAGAAGTGAATAAGAACCCACAGTACTGTCAGCAGAGCAATATTATTTACAGTGACATCCAGACAAATGTTCAGAATTTATTTGTTATAAGACATTTCTCTTGCTAACTAAGGGAGATATTTGCCCAAAATATATCATCAGTCTGTCTCCCCTTCCTTACTTGGTATAATCAGAAATGAGAGTGGGTGTTGAAGGCAAGAGAGCTATAATTTGAATAAATTCCCCAGATGATTCTGATGCCTTTTATTTCCTAAATTAATTATCTCACAGACTGTAGCTATTTTTTCTTACAGAAAGATACAAGATATTTCATAATTAGCTTGACTATCTAATATTTTAGTCTCAAAGCTGAGAAACACAAACTCAGAATACACACAAACACAGTTTATATTCAATTGACCATAAGTTTGGAAGAAAAACAGGTTAATAATCCATGATGGCAGAAAAGAACACAGCTCCCTAAAATTGGCCTTACAATTGGCTTGCTGATATTCTGGAAAATAACTTCCAATGATATAATAAAGTCACACCATGAAAGTTTGACTTAAGAGTCATCCATTTCTCCCATCAGCCTTTCTTTAACTCAATCCGCAATAAAAATACATGGCAAAGTCTCAAACTATTGCAAGGTACAAAGCAAGAGTTGCTCTTCTTAATCTTTACCCTAAAGCAGGGGTCAGCAGTTTTTTTTCCCTGTAAAGGGTCAGAAAGTAAATACGTTAACCTTTGAGGGTCATATGCTCTCTCATTGTAACTGCTCAACTCTGTCACTCTAGCATAAAAACAGCCCCAGATGATACATAAACAAACACATGTGTTAAAATAGAATGTTGTTTATGGACAATAAAATTTGAATTCCATATAATTTTCAAAAGTCATGAAATATTCTTTTGATTTTTTCAGCCATTTAAAATGTAAAAACCATCTTAGTGTGCTGGCTGTACAAAAAACAGGCAATAGGCTGGATTTGGACAGGCCATGGTTTGCCAAACCCTACATCAAAGCAATGAGGTAGTTAAATGGGTTTTGTTTCAAAGACATTCCCTGGAGAGCAGCTTGATTGCTACATACCAATGCAAAAGGAAGTGGAAACAATAGAAAATATCAACAAGGTTAATATTAATTAGAAAATTAGGTACTGTCAATTAACTTAAGGGAAAAATTGATAAAGTTAGTTGAAAGGCAGATCATCCATCCAGAAAAAATGCAGACAGGAGAGCAGACAGGAGTTTTGGGGAAACTCAAATATTCCAGAGGGTTTAATGGAGTTGTAACTATATGTAAATAAATTCACGTTGGAAGTATAGTTCAATTAATTAGACGTATTTAAATATATAAATTTAAATATTTAAAATTATTAGAGATGGACAACAATATTTAAAGTTTCAAAAATCTAATTTGGGCTGTAATGTAGAGAAATACTCATTGTCAGTGTTGACAAGAATATAAACCGATATACCTTTTTGGGAAGATTTGGCAATATCCATCAAAATTCAAAACATTCTCTTATACCAATTTTTCAGTAATTAATAGATACAAGTGCATGAGCATGCAGAAATTTACATAGAAGGATATTCACTGGAGGATTGTTTGTAACACAAAAAACTGCAACCAAACTAAACTTCCATCAATAGAGAAAGTTAAATAAATTATGGCGCATACCTATAATAACATAATTTGTAGTCATTAAAAGGACTGAAGCAAAACTATATGTACTAACAGGAAAAAAGAACTATAATATATTAAGTGAAGGTAAAACCAATTTGCCAAATAGTGGGTATATAGTATATAATTCTATCTATTTAAATAAATCTACAGGTATACACACACACATTTGTATACGCACAGAAAATTCTACATGATGTATTCCAAACTGTTAACAGTGGCTTCCCCCGAGGAATGGTTGTGAGAAAGGAGAAACAGAGGACTTAACTTTTTACTTCAAATTAATCTATATTGTTTTCTTTATTTCTTTTTAAACAACCAGCATAGTCCTGTTATAAGCTACCAAAAAGGTGGGAGGGGTCATTTAAATAGGAAAGTTCTAGCAGTAATGCCAATAAAGCATCATCTAGAATCTAAACATTAAACAATAATCTAATGTTAAAAGAAACTAAAAACTCCCTCACCATATTAGCATTGATCTACATAACAGATAAGAATCCTAATGTTAGCTCCAAGTGAGGGAAACTGGTTAAGAAAATCCATAATTACAAGCTAGAATAGTAAGTGCTGTAACAGAAGTTAGCACTAGGTATTGGAGAAACCCAGAGAAAGTGACTCTACATCATTCGGGGTGGTTAGAAATACAGTGTGTTTTAAAGACAAATGGAAAATGGCCAGGCAGATCTGGTGTGTGCATATGGGGGCACTATGTTTCTGGTGAAGGCAACAGCATCTGCAAGGGATGAGGCTGCGAGAAAACACTATGCCTAAGAAGCACAAGTAGTTATGCCAGACATATTCCCTTTTAAAAAATATTACAGTACCAGGGAATAACAGACTTTTCACATTATATCGTACAATGTTTATTCAAATATTTATTTATTTATTTACTTTTTGGTGAGAAAAGATTGGCCCTGAGCTAACATCTGTTGCCAATCTTCCTCTTTTTTTTGCTTGAGGAAGATTGTCCCTGAGCTAACATCTGTACCAATCTTCTCCAATTTGTATGTGGGATGCCGTCACAGAATGGCGAGTGGTGTGTAGGTCTGCATCTGGGATGCAAACCCACAAACCCCAGGCCACTGAAGAAGAGCATGCAAACTTAACCACCATGCTACCAGGCTGGCCACTCAAATATTTATTAAACATCTAGTAGGTGGCAGATGCCCTGGCAGGCCTAGGTATTCACTAAAAAGACAGACAATAATCAATATTTAATTGAAAATTGTAATAAAGGAAATGAAGGAAATAAGAGAGATAATGGAAATAACATGGAAAAGACCTACTTACAGATTGTTCAAGGAAGAACTCTATGAGAGGGTACTACTTAAACTGAGACCTAAGGATAAACAGATACCAACCAAAGGGTTGGAGTGGGGGTCAAATGTTGGGAAGGAGCAATCATAGTTGGGAATAGCCTAGTCCAAGCTTCTGAACCAGGAAAGAATCTATTCTGTTTGAGGAATTGAAACACAGCTGGTATCCCTGAAGCTTAGTAGGTAAGGGAAAAAAGAGGACAGGCAGGTTAAGGAGAGATATTCCAGGGCCTTGTAGATCATAGCGTAAAGTAAGGATCTTATTTGAAATATTATGGGCATCCATTGAAAGTTATGCTTAAGCACTGAAATGCCATGTTCACCTATTTGTTTTTAAAAGATTCTTCTGCTATTTGGAGACTAGAATTGAAAGGAGGCAGGTAAAAAAACTGTGGTAGTCTAGTCAAAATATTGGCTTGGATAAGAATGAGAGCAGCAGAGTGAGAAAAATGGTTTTGAGGTAGAAGCAACTGAACTTGTTGATAGAAAGGAGAAGCGGGGAAAGGAGGAATTAGAAGAATCAAAGACGACAGGCTGTACCCAGTAAATTAAAATTCTAACCATCACAACTTTTATAGCAGATACTATATTAGCAAAAGTGTCTAATTAGAATGCTCTAAATTTTCAAATACTGTTCACCTCAATGTTCCACTAAACACAGGATTACGATTATTCAAGTTTTAAAACAATGAGATATTTAGTAAATATACACAATCTCACAGTGCAATACATATATCTAAAAGTATGATTTTCCAGGAAATAACAGAAAACATTCAACAAATAATATTGAGTGCCTACTATATGCTAGTCATTGCATTAAACATTGGGAAAGAATTCAATGTGGTCTTGTGAAAACATAAATCACCCACTCTTTGTATATTCCAGCATAATTATTTGTAAGAACCACTTTAAGCATTCTAGTTAAACATCATAGAATAGTATTTACCTTATATGTTAAACAAATTCAATACAACAAATAACTAGTTCGGCTATTTTCCAACATAATACTTTTCAATGAAAATTATTACATACAAACCTTTTGAAGGTTGTCTCAAAGATTCAGAAAGTTTCACCAAAGATTGCGGTTGAACAGCCTTCCCACATAATGGGATGCCAGGAGTGTTATTTTTCTCCAAATCCTGTTTAATTTTGGTATCAGAAATACTTCCTGTTACACAATTTTCATTAAACTGGGAACAAATCTGAGAATTTTCCATCTTTGTAAACGTATACTTAGAAAATCTAACTGTCCTGTTAAGGTCACTCTGTGCTTCAGCTGTTATGGTCCTATGGGATAGATGCTTAGAACTCAATTTCTTCTTACAAGTAGCAGCTTCTGTAGTCATATGATCTGAACTCACATTGAAACTTGAACCTCCTGTAAGAATTGATTTGGAACCATTCACTTGTATTGGAACATCTGTGTTATTCCAAGAGACATGGAGATTATTGGCCTGACAATTCAAGTTCTTAGGGTATATAGTCAAATTTGTCGTAGCACCCAGAAAACCTGGAGAATTTCCACAAATTTCCCTTTTCTCCATTTTCATTGATTTATTTATTTGTGAATTATTTGTCGATGAAGACATATGCACTGAAATGCTATTCAGATTCAAATGCTTCCGTTGCATCAACTGGCTCCTTTGTTTAGATGTAGTAAACATGTTTTTGGCTCCGTGTGTGGAACTATTATTGATCTCAAGTATACTTTCTGATGTCTTGCTGTCTCTTCTAACGTCTTGTTGCTGAGTTAGTCTTTCAACATCATCACACGCTTGGTATAATAAATCATCATCTACATCATCTGCTTCCCAGGTATTCTCTAATTGGTGACATGCTTTAACAATTTCATTGGCAAATGATGGATCACTCCAATCATCAAAGAAAGAATCTAACTTGGATGCATTAGTCTGATTTGGGTTATGAACACTGGTTTCATTGTCCAAAGCTGCAGAGCCAAAAGGATCTATAGTAGCAGGTGCTTTAAAAGACTGATTAAAAATGGCCTGATTTTTTTGTTCATTAGAATATCCTGTGTTCAAAGTAGACTTTTTTTCAGAAGCATTTACTTTAGAAGTAAATTTAGTATGAATATCTTCCTTGACTTTTGTCAGATCAAATGCAGCTGCACAATCTTGCATTTTGTCTTGAACAACAATTTTATTGAAAGATTTCTCAAATTTCATTTTATTTCCAGTGGATGGTAATTTGTTTGGTTTACCATTTGGATCTGGCAAAAAACTATATTTTCCAGCATCTATTAATTCACTGTTATGTGTCTTTGAAGGAAGATCTTGTAAAATTTTTGAATCTTTTAATCTGGCATCTAGACTTGAATTAGTTCTTGACTTACTTTTATCATTTTTATTGTTAAAGGTACAAATTCCTCTTCGATCAACAATTTGGGTTGTTTTAGAAGCAGGGAAAAGTTCAGACATTTCGCCATTTTGCATAACAAAAAGTTCATTACTTAATAAGTTTTCCCAATCATCCTCAAAATCACTGGTAGCAAACGCATCAAGGTGCTTATTAAAAGCTTCCGGTTCCTTAGTACTGGAAGTCGCACATGATTTTGTCATTCCAGGATTATCTACTTGACAAGAAAGCGATCCTGGGGTTTTATTTGGCAGTTTTTCAGTGACCCGAGTTTCGTTAGTAATGATTTTCTCCTCTTTCAAAACACTCTTCTTTCCAAAGGTGGTATTACTGATGTTCAAAAAAGTATCTGACAGATCTTGGCTTATCTGTCCGCTACATTTCTGAGTAGAACCATCAAAAATGGCATTAAAGGCTGCTTCAGCATTTTGGTCAAATGGCTTCTGACTGCTATTTTGATCATTTACCACAGGTATCTTGGTGTTTTCGTTCACTGGCTTCCTTATTATAGCATTATCGATCTCGAGAACTCTATCATGGAATAACTGCATCTGTACATTATCTTCATAATTATTTAAAGTCTCTGTTTCTGAAATCATCTGGATAAAATCATGATTTCTCTTGTTTTGCTCTTGAATCACATCTAGCTCTTCCATATTTTTATCAAATTGCTTAGCCAATTTCATAAGTTCTTCCTCTCGACTTTGTGTTTTTAACCTATTAAACAAATATTTTAAAATTATAACTGAGAAAAGTTCCGAGTTATTATAAATATTCAATTGGTATTTAACATATTTTAATACGTTAAACTTGAAAATTTTATCTTACATTATAATTATTTTGTCCAAAATTTTACATGTCAAAACCAAGGAAAATAATTTATAACCATTTTGATATATTCACAAAACCAAAATAGGATATTATTAAAAATATTTACTTCACTGAATGTCAGAAAAGCTGAAAAGTTTGAGCTTACTTTGTGCAGCTGATTTTTGCTCTTGATTTTCCTTTTGCAACATTAGGAGTGCAAGGAATGGCAGTTTCACCAATCCACATGCCCAGCATGGAGTTTGCTGCTGGTTTTTCATCCTTTGGCAAAAGAGGAAAAAAAGAGGTTTAAAAGCAAAAGGATAAAAAAAAAAGAAGAAAAGAAAAAGAAAACTTCAATTAAGTTGAATTATTTTCCTAAAGCAATAAATTCTGGTACAGTGATAATTACTAAACAAACTCCCAAACAATGAGAAGTTGAAAGATGGCAATAATAAATTGCAAGAAGTGATTTATTTAAGCTTCAGGGAATGAAAACATTTAAAATTGGGAATTTCTTATTTTCAAAAAGTTATAAGAATTTAATTAATTAACAAATATACATTTAATAGTAAAAGCACGTTTTTATCAAAAGAAAACTGATCAACTTATTTCAGCTGTCATAAGATATTCATAAAAATAAACATTAGTATCAGAAATAAACTGTGTAGCAGAAATCATCGAATTAAGAATAGAAATACATATGGAATTCTTTCTGTATTATCTGATTCTCCAAATTTTCCCTATGCCCATTATAATCATTACCTAAAGTTGGACAATCCATGTTGACCTGAATTGAGAACACTGAGAATTAAGGTCAGGCCTGAGTTAGAGGATAAGTGCAAGGTCAGAACTGATGCTAAGAATAAGGCAGGGATAAGAACAAAAATAAGTAGTGAAAGCAAAAAGAGAAGTTTAACCATTGTATAAAGGAGAGGAAAAAGTCATTTCAGTCCTGGATATTTTTGCTATGCTTTTCAGTCACTTGATCATACAAAAAATTAGAGAATGAGCTCATGCATGAGTTACAAACCAAACCAACAAGTCAAATAGGTTATCATTTTCTACTCTATTTTTATAGTACTACAATGAACATAAATAACTATCACATGAGGTAAAACTAATCTTTTCACTAGATTACAGGTTACTTGAAGGTAAGGACTATTCTTATGAGAGTTCAGCATCTAGCAAAATTCTGGGCATAAAGATGTCAGTTCATGTTTATTTACTAGAAGGTTTAGGTGAAAAGCTCCCTACAACTTGGTACTTTAAAATCCTCAATCAACAAGCAGTTTTCTGAGATGTCCAGTTGAATCTAGTAGATTTTAGCTTCACAAAATACTCAAGTCAACCAAAAATTTCACTTTCAGACGCAATATATATTTTCCTTTTTATTTCAATAACAATATTGAATTTAGGGAAAATAACATTCTTAAAGATTTAATGATGGACTTTTTGTCCATTTACAAGTAATTTTAAATTCATTCAAATTTTATAAAAGTATGACAACTTTATAAATTTTTATATATGTGTGTATATATATATATATGTGTGTGTCCTATATATGTTTTTACACTATTTATAAGTGTTATATTTAAAAAAATTTCTTCATTAATAATTTCATAATTTATTGATTCCCAACTATAATCCAGGTGCTGTACAAAGTATCTAAACACACTACTTCATTTAATCCTAAAGAGCATACTGTATAGAGATGTTTAAAAATGGTGGGAAAATATACACCATCTTCCCCAAAAAATACTGTATGAAAGGTATCCCTAAAGAAAGAAATGACTGTCCAGTGAAAACAAAAGTGTGTATTTAATAAAGAATGTGATCCCTGAAAATATTAAGGTGACTTAACTATTTGAGGGGGATAAGTCACTTAAAAATAAACATGAATATGTCATTCTGAGAACACGACAAGCTTTAAAAAGCACCTCAAAACTACCAAAGATTTATATGCTTTAAAAGTGTTCAGTTGAAAAGGGTAACATTTAAAAGCAACTAATTTCCTTGTATTTATTCTTATACACAAGTTACCACTTGCATACTGTTGCCATTTCTTTATGTGAGCTTTTATTTCTAGCCCACTTAGGTAAAGGGTCCAATAATTTACTCAACTGTTATCTTTTTATCACTATTTAGGCTGGCCAGCCCAAACACATTTTATTATGCTTCTTTCATGTGAAACCCACAATTAATGAAGATCTATTGTTAACTTATGAAGTAAGTAGTAGTATGGCATAAACGCTATTTAACTAATGAACCATTTGTAAAATGAGTTTCTATGACATGCCAAAGATGGAATGCAGAGCTAGTAGCAACAGAGTTGTTTTGACTGTGCTAATTGTAATTTCAGATATTTTATAGCCACTAAAAAAAATGTTATTTCCTGTCTCCTCTACCAGGATGGCGGTGCTTCCTCATAACCACATTTTGGCCAGTGCCAGCCGTTGTTTATGGTCAACACATAGTCGCCATCCAAGCGCATGTCAAGGAAAAACACCATACCTCCTACAGAGAAGATACTGAGCAAAAAGTGGATGTTTTCTGGATTTAAATGTTATTAAATAAGAAAAAGAGAAGGAAAAGTAAAGAAGTTCAGAACAGAGGCTGACTTACATTTATATTTATATTTCACTCAAGCAGTACAAGTGAAATAAACTTTCGAAGATGGTTCTATTACAGCAAATAATTTAACTATCATAATTAACTGTAAAATAACCTCACATTTATAGTGCTCTATACTTTACAAAGCACTTTTATCCTAACTGAATCCTCATAATAATCCAATCAAAAGGGCAAGACAGGCAATACCTCCAGTTTATGACTGAATAAACTGAAGTTCTAAGAGATTATGTGACTTGTTTGGGGTCACCCAATACATGAGGCCAACTGAGAACTAACTCCAAATGCAAAGTTCCTTCCACCTTTATAAGCATTTCTTGATGATCTTCTCAGTCAGTAAGTATTAAGACGAGCAGTTTCAATGGGGAAAAGGTGTGCTATAGACAGTAAACAAATACCAATCACAAATAACTGAAAAGTTCACATTTTTATTGACTATTATTTTAGTAACTTGAAAAATGGTGCCATATACTGTTAAACAACATGAAAGAGAAAAGAAACACAAAGCTCTAGTCAAAAATCATCACTCCAAAAAAATTAAAATAAGACATATGCCTAGAAAAATATATATTACCAATTACACATTATGTTCCTTTCTTTGAAAGATGCATTTCAGTAGTAGAAAAGGTAAAAGTAATCTGCTGCTTTATCTTTGGAAAAGAGAATAGTAAAAGACAAAATATTTTTCACACAAACAAACCATACAAGGATTTAGGGGCACATTTTTCACTGTTTTAAAATAAACTATAAAACTAGTGATATTTACCTGAGGAGCAATACGACTAACAATATGTGAGATCTCATCACTATCTGTGGTGTAAATCTGTTTTTTTCTTCCTTTACCTAAAGAAATAAAGACGTTTCTATAAAAATCATAAACAAAAAAACCAATTTTTAAAAGTAGCAGTCACTTCTTAGAAAATTTTCATTAGCACAGCTTAGATCAGTATGCACTCTGACATCACATGCCTATCACAGCAATACAATCACACAAGGTTCTCAAAAAACATCTGCTGTATTAAAGTTCCTGATGTCGTCAGAGAAATGCAAATCAAAACTACACTAAGATACCACATTTAGACCCATTAGATTGGTATAACCAAGACAAAAAATAACAAATGTTGGAGAGGTTGTGGAGAAAAGGGAACCCTCATACACTGCTGGTGGGAATGCAAACTGGTGCAGCCGCTGCGGAAAACAGTATGGAGATTCCTCAAAAAACTAAAAATAGAACTACCATAAGATCCAGCTATCCCACTACTGGCTATCGATCCAAAGAACTTGAAATCAACAATTCAAAGAGACTTATGCATCCCTGTGTTCCTTGCAGCATTATGCACAATAGCTAAGACTTGGAAGCAACCCAAGTGCCCATGACTGATGACTGCACAAAGACAATATGGTGTAAATATACAATGGAATACTACTCAGCCATAAAAAGACAAAATTGTCCCATTTGCAACAACATGGATGGACCTTGAGGGTATTATGTTAAGCGAAATAAGCCAGACAGAGAAAGACAAACACTGTATGATTTCACTCATATGTGGAAGATAAACTAACACATGCACAAAGAGAACTATTTAGTGGTTACCAGGGGGAAGGAGGGTGGAGGGTGGGCACAAAGGGTGAAGGGGCACATATATATGGTGACTGACAAATAATACTGTACAACTGAAATTTCACAATGTTATAAACTGTGACGACCTCAATAAAAATTTTTTTAAAAAGTTCCCGATGTTGTTACCTCAGTAGTTCTACAGCTAGATCATAATCATTTATGAAATATTTAACCAGATAAAAATGTTAATAACAAATTACCTAACTGCTTTGTCATTGGAGAATTTTGATCCCAAAAGATATCATTCTGTCCATCTGGATCATTAGGAGAACTGAAGGTAGATGACAATAAATCCATTCTGAGCAATCGCTTTGGTGTTTCATATCTTTCTACATAAAATGAGATTAAAATAACAATTGTTGCATTTTAAAGTTTTACTTACTTCATCATACCCCCAAGTCAAATAGTAGCTTACACCAGACTACTTTTTATAGTCCAATTATAAGACTCTCTCCCAGAGATGGCTATATTACTTTAACCACAATTGAAATGTTTGCTTCACATAAAAATCCTTGTAATACTTCACAAATGTGACACTGTAACTAGCAAATTAAAATCGACAATCTAGTAACTCTATGAATGTATAATACGGTATAACCTAGCCAGTCTATTCATTACCACTAGAACTTGGCAGCTTTGGGAACCACCTATAATTTATCGATAGATTTCAAAAATCAAAAGGGTCCCAACAGAAACTTGAGTAAAAAATCTAGTTTATCCCCCTTTTACCCACTCTAGCAACTTACAATAATTACTTCAAAAGGCTTTAGTAGTGATCATCCATTTCTTAGGAAGTTTTGTCTAGTACCATTTTTAAATTTCTACAAAGATTTATTTTTGTTCATTCCGGAATTGCTTTAGGGGAGTAAACTAAAGACAAGTAAAGTAACAAAAGCTGTATTTTAAGAACATGTTCTAGAAAAGACCTTTTGTAAGAGTTTCTGTTCCTACCAGGATTTACTAAAACTTTTAAAACAGAACACCCCAAGTTGATCAGAAGGAAATATTCAGGTGCACTCGGGTTCCTACTCCTAGGAACTTCCGATTTATTCATCAGGTGAGACAACACCACGGATTTGCAGATGCAGACAGCTGGAGCTCGTCCTACAGGCCCTTCTCTATAGCAAGTCAGGGCACACGGTGTCAGGGGAAATAAGTGCCCAGGGAACTAGTCAGCGGAAGGCCTCAGCGCTATCAAGGTTCTCCTCGCCCGGCCGCCACTGAGGCCCGGAGGCGCAGCCGAGCCAGGCGCCGCCCTCCCCAGACAGGTAAACCACACGACCCACTCCTGTGGCTGGGGCGGCAAGTGGGCGGTCAGACCTAACCGGGCGACGCTCAGACTCAGGGACCAACGCCTCGGGGGGAGTGGTGCCGGGTTATTTTTGGATCACGAGGGGAGAAGCCCAGAGAGGAGCGCACTCAGACTCCACCCCCTACCCCCGCCCAGCCTGCCCGCGGGGCCGTGGGGCTGCAGCGCCGAGGCCCGCAGAGGCCGCGCAGACCCGCCTCACCCTCGGGGTGACTTTTACTGCACGCAGCGGCTGCCGGAGGCTGCTCCTGCTGCGGCCGGGCCCGTGGCGGCCCCTCTCCGACCCCGCCGAGCCCCGAGCCGCGGGCCGCCCTCAGCCGTCTCTTCCGTGGCTCGACCACTGAGCTGCATTCCTCGGCCGCCGCCGCCGTCCGCGGCGGGTTCTTCAGGCCAGGGCTGTCTCCATGTTTCCTTCGCCGACTCATTGCCTAGGACCCCCTCCACCAGCCGCTTCTCCTTTCACATTTTGCCACAGGCAGATGGGTAAGGCAGTGGAACTATAAGCAGGATCCCGCGCCAACGGCCGCCGCCATTTTGGCCGGTGGGGGCGCTCCTAAGGGCGGCCGCTGATTGGCTGTCCGGACGAGGGGCGGAGCGATCAGGGTGCCGGCGGCGCGCGCTTACGCAGCCCGCACCGCGCCTGCTCGGCCCTGCTCAGACTCTCCGGCTTTGAAAGTGACAGCCAGGGCTAGTGGTCTGGCCTCCCTAGCTGAGAGTGAGAGTATGTGAGGTGGAAAGAAAATTGAATCCACTGGCATTTTTTTAAACTGAATTTACAATTAGAATTACACTCTACTACGATTCAGGTTATTGTGGGTATTGGTAGTTTTTAAGAAGAGAAAGTAAGGTACAGATTAGGAAGAAGAAATAAAACTTTTTCATAAATGATATGTGCATAGAAAAATCCAAAAATAGGAAAAGTTATTCATAAATTTATTAAACAGTTACTGATACAAAGTCAACAAAGATCAATTGTTTCAGTAGATTGGTAACAAATGTAACATTGACATTTTAAAGAAATGATTTATAATAGCATACAAGATATCAAATAACTAAGAATAAATTTCACCAAAGATTGCAACACCTCTACAGAGAGAAATACGAAATAGGTTTGAAAGAAATTGAAGACCTAAATAAATGGAAGATTATACCATGTTCATGGGTTGCAAGACAATTTTGTTACAATGTCTGTTCTTCCCAAATTGCACTATAGGTTCAATGCAAATCCATTCACAATTGCAGTAGGGGTGTGTGTGTAATATAACAAGTTTATTTTAAAATGTACATAGATATGCAAGGGGCTGAAAATATCCAAGAAACTCTTGAAGCTCTCTTTTTGAATAGTAGAATTGGATATCTATCAGGTATCAAGACTTTCAAATTTATGATAATTAAGATAGTGTGGCAATGGTGAAAATAGGCAAACAGATAAAAGAAACAAAATAGCTCAAAATCAGACTTTTAAATAAATGGACACTTGATTTAAGACAAAGATGACCCTCCTGAGCAGTGGGAAAAGGACTTTTTGATAATAAATACTACGTGGTCAATTTGATACTCTCATGGAAAGACAACTTATAAGAAAGGCAACTTATACCTCAAACCATATCCCCAAATTAAGTGCAAATTGTTTATATGTTTAATGATGAAGATAAAATAATTAACATTCTAAAAGATGATAGAAATTATCTTCATGACAGATAACTAATTTTAAATTGAAAAAAGATCACCAACTATAAGAAATAATTATACATCTGACTGCATTAAATTGATACCTTGAGAACTTCTGTCCTTCTGAAGACAACACTAAAGAGAATGGAAAGCAAGTCATAGATTGGGAGAAAATATTTACAAGATACAAGATTAAGGGCCCACACATAAAATATATGAAGAACTGATATAAATCAGTAAGAAAATGATTGACCACCAATAAGAAAAATGGGTCATGGGGCCGGTCCCATGGCAGAGTGGTTAAGTTCGAGCGCTCTGCTTCGGCGGCCCAGGGTTTTGCCACTTGGAATCCTGGGCATGGACATGGCACCACTCGTCAAGCCATGCTGAGGTGGCATCCCACATGCCACAACTGGAAGGACTCACAACTGAAAATACACTTCTATGTACCGGGGGGCTTTGGGAGAAAAATAAAATCTTTAAAACAACAAAAAGTAAAGAAAAGTGGGTCATATACTTTAGCAGGCTCTCCAAAAGAAAATCTAAATAATCTACAAACTTGTATAAATGGGCTCAACCTCATTTGTAATGAGGAAAATGAAAATGAAAACCACAATGTGATACTCCTTACACCCATCAGAATGGCTAAAATTAAAAAGACTGACAATAGGGGTATCCAGGAAGTAAATGAGAGATGAGACCACAGCCCCAGGTAAACTCCTTGATTGCAGCCTGTGAGAGACCCAGAGCTAGAGGACGCAACGAATGGGAACTGTCACAGGCTCCTGGTGAGAGCATAACTTGGTGCAACCACTTTGGAAAACAATTTTTGATCTAGCAGTGCCACTCCTAGGAATATAACCAATGGAAAGGCATGGACTTATGCATCAAGATACATTTTATGGAAATACTTTTGGCAGTAAAATTTGAAATTACCCCAAACTGGAAACAAACTGAATGCAGTTCAACAGTAGAGTGGGGAAATATGTTGAGCTAAGTTTGCTCAACAAAATGCTACACAGTAGTGAAAGTGATGAACTACAGCTCCTGGCAACTATGTGGAAAAATCTCATACAGTTGAGCGAAAGAGGCCAGACTCCCCATCCTCCCTGCCTCTTCCTTCCCAAGAATACTATATAATTCTATTTGCATAAATTCCAACAGGCAAAATTAACCTATATTGTATAGTAATGTAAGCTTAAATGATAAAATTGTAAAGATAAAGGATGTGGTTACCATAAAAGTCAGGATAATGGTTACTTTGGCAAGGGGGGAAGGGAAAATGATTAGAAGGGGATGGGGGAGGGGAAGCATCTGATGCGTTGGCTTTGTCCCTTGTCTTATTCTAGTTGCTGATTTTGTAATAATTCATTGAGCTGAACATGTTTTTTGTACTTTTCTGTGTACATGTTATAAAATAAATAAAATAAAAATGTTTTAAAATTTTAATGTAAGGCAAAAAAATCTTTTGTTTCTGCTGAGGAACTGATATATATCTCTTCTTTGTAATTTCCTCTGTTTTCCTTCTTCAGTTTGGCTGACAGGAATCCTAGAACTAAGTTTGAGGTTCCATTCTAGCAATTATGTGGACTATTGTGAACAAATAATTCCTTTCTTTTTGCTCAGTGCTTAACTTTCCACTAATATTTCCCTTGCCATGACTGTTCTTAATCTACATATTTTAAAACCATTATTTAGTTTTATGTATTTATAACTGGATATGACTGGTAGAGAAGTTACATCTCTTCAAATTCAAATTAACTACTTGAATCTCCAATTGTCTAAATTAACAGGAATACTGTTATTTCTCTCTAGAATCTCTCCCACCTCTCAACTGACCAAGAATCCCAGAAGCAGCAAAAAAAAAAAAAAAAAAAAAGGCCAATATCCATTATGACATGTTATTAAATAGATGGTGATGAGGATTTTTAGGCTGCTTAATTTTAAAATGGCTTATGATGAGGATTTTTAGGCTGGTTAGTTTTAAAACTACAGCTGAGATTCAGGCTCCAAGGAGTGGAATTTGTTTGCCCCTTTGTTGGGAAACATTCACATTTCTAAGGGAAACCTCTATCTGTGAAGATGCCTCCCTCTCTGTGCCAGGAAGAAGGGGGATGGTCTTATCTCTAGAAGCTCTTGGTCAATGCCAGAGGCAAGATCTTAAGTTGGTTACTGTCTGGCAACCTCATGTAACTGACCCTCCCCCCCACAAATCCTCGTTTGTCTTTAGCCGAGGATAAAATTCAAGCAGTGACTTCTGCCATTTACTCAATCCGGTTTGATTCTTATCTAAAAGTTGTGGGACCGCCAAATGGCCAGACCGTACGGGCACTGATACCATTTTAACTTTTTTACATATTCTTTGTCTTGTAAAGAGATGACTCACATACCTATGCCTTAAATTTAGTCCTAACCCTCAACTCTGGGGCAGCAGCAGGAGCTCTGACTGCCCGTGGGTCCTGTCCCCACGCACCAGCTCTGCCTGCCCATGGGCTCTGTCCCCATGCCAGCGGGGGCAGCAGAAGCGGCGGCAGCAGAAACTCTGACTGCCCATGGGTCCTGTCCCCATGCTATTCTACTCTCTAAATAAAAGAGCACTACTGCCAGATCTTGAGAGTCCAAGAAATCTTTCTTTCGACTCCTCGGCTCACCGACCCCGCATCATTTCGCATCATAGTTATCTAAAAGACTTAATTTACCCTAAAAAACACCTAACTCACACTTAGGAAATAGTTAAGGTAGTTCGAAGAATTTAATGATGCCTATAGGAGTAATAACCATGTGGTAATGCTTTAGAGCATATTAATGCTGCAAATAAAATAACAATGAATAATTTCCCGTAACTGTCCCAATTCTATAGTGCCCAAGTAACCCTTGTAAAAAGGAACAGCTTGAGCCCAAAGAACAGACGTGTTGTTACCTTAGCATGCCCAGGATGGCTGTAATCTGTAATCATTATGTGGAAGAAGACAATCATAAGTTTTAGCTGGAAAGTTACTTAATTCACACAATCTGTTACAGTTCTAAATGTAGTTCAAATTTACTGTATTTCCTGAGTATAATTCCTGAAATAAGTACAGTACAATTAACTCCTTGATAAAATGTTTTAATAAACAAAAGATAAGTCTTGAAGACATTTGAATGCAATATGATTCAAAACCCCAAAACAGCATTTCCAGGCATTTGAATAATATGTACATATAAGTAAGGTGTAATACAACTAAAATCTTTTTGTGTGTGTGTGAGGAAGATTGGCCCCGAGCTAACATGTGTTGCCAGTCTTCCTCTTTCTGCCTGAGAAAGATTGTCGCTGAGCTAACATTTGTGCCAACCTTCCTCCATTTCATGGGGGATGCTGCCACAGCATGGCTTGACGAAAGGTGCCAGGTCTGTGCCTGGGATCCACACCTGAGAACCCCAGGCTGCCAAAGCAGAGTGCACGAGCCCAACTGCTATGCCACCAAGGCAGCCCCACAACTACACGCTTTTTAACAAACCAGAGTTAAACTCTTACTTGTTTTACTTGCAGAAATTATCCATAAGCTTGATGGGGATTAGTAAACAAAAATTGAGACATTGAGAGTCTGTGCTAAGGAGCTTTTTTGTGGAGTGATTGCCTTGTCACTTGCATTACAATGATACTATCTGCTGGATCAGCGGCCAGTTGTGAGAAGTCTTTATTTCAGGAAAAAATATAAAAATCATAATGTGCTATTGTGTAGCCCAGTGTATATACAAAGCCTGCCCCAGTACCAAATCTATCAGGATACAATTGACAGAATCTGAACAGGCTACAAAATGAGTAGAGAATTTTTTTACAGTCTTGTTACTATGTTCCTTAAATATACCCCAAAGTACACCTGGTAAGTACTGGGCCCATTTTCTCTCAGTCCTGACCT